AAGGGGCTCTGCTGGGGAGACCTGACTGGACACAGGGTGCTCCACAGCGTAGGGAACAAGCCAAGTGCCACAAAAACAAAAATAAGGCCAGAAAAAAAGAGCCCAAACCTGGACAGACAGTGCCAGGACAGGCAGGGGGCAACAGTGGCCTGAGTGACGTCGCTGCCCCGGGTTGAGGGAGGGTAGAATGAGCAGGGGGCAGGCATCAGAGCTCAGGGGACCAGGACCGAGCAGCCACAGGTGAGCAGGGGCTGGTGGGGGCAGGATGAGCAGGGAGCAGCTCCTGGAGCTCTTAGAGCCAGGGCAGAGCAGTTGCAGGTGAGAAGGGCTCGGTGGGAGGTGAGCAAGCAGGGGCAGCCCCGGGAGCTCTGGGAACCAGGGCAGAGCAGCCCCAGGTGAGCAGAGGCAGGTGGGAGGCAGGACGCGCAGGGTGTAGCCCCTGGAGCTCAGGGAACCAGGGCAGAACAGCCTCAGGTGAGCAAGGCAGGTGGGAGACAGGAGTAGCAGGTGGCAGCTGCTGGAGCTCAGGGGACCAAGGCTGAGCAGCCGCAGGTGAGGAGGGGCTGGTGGGAGGCGGGATGAGCAGGGGACAGCCCCTTGAGCTCAGAGAACCAGGGCAGAGCAGTCGCAGAATGAGCAGGGCTCAGGGGGAGGTGGGCAAGCAGAGAGCAGCTCCTGGAGCTCAGGGCATCAGGGCAGAGCATCAGAAGGTGAGCATGGCTGGTGTGAGGTAGGTGAGCAAGAGGCAGTCCCTGGAGCTCAGGGGATCAGGTAGAGCAGCTGCAGGTCAGCAGGGGCTGGTGGGAGGCAGAATGAGCAGGAGGCAGCCCCGGGAGCTCAGGGGACAAGGCAAGAGCATCGGAAGATGAGCAGAACTGAGGCTCAGCCTCAGGGAGCCAGGACAGAGCAGCTGCAGGTGAGCAGGGCCAGTGGGAAGCAGGGGCAGCAGGTGGGCAGCCCCTGGAGCTCAGAGAGACAAGGCAGATCACCCGCACGTGAGCAGGGGCTGGTGGGAAGCAGGAGGAGCAAGGGGCAGGCACTGGAGCTCAGACGACCAGGGCAGAGCAGCCGCAGGTGAACGGGGGCAGGTCAGGGGCAGGAGGAGGCGGCGGCAGCTCCTGGAGCTCTGGGGACCAGGGCAGACCCGCTGCAGGTGAGCAGGGCGGTGGGAGGCAGGACAAGCAGGGGACAGGCAGCAGAGCTCAGGACACAGCAGCCACAGGTGAGCAGGCCGGTGGGAGGCAGGACAAGCAGGGGACAGGCAGCAGAGCTCAGGACACAGCAGCCACAGGTGAGCAGGCCGGTGGGAGGCAGCACTCAGCTTCTACACGTTGGCAGGAGCTGGGCAGTTGCTGGCAGCCGACAGCTGAGGGCTGGTGAAAGCACAGTGCAGCCACCTGGTGCAGGGAAGCGGGTGTGAGCCCATCCCACTGAGCAGTTGGCAAGGGCAAGCTGGGATGGAGAAGGGAAGGCATTCCAGGGCTCAGGGCTCAGCTCACAGGCAGGGGCAGGTCTGGATGCAGGGGAACGTGTGCTGAGACCAGAGCTGGCCCCAGTGGACCCTGGGCAGGAAGGCCTCTGAGGCTGGCGCTCCAGAAGGAACAAGACGGGCTGCCAGGAGCCAGGGCCACCAGCACAATGAAGCTGAGTGGAGGTGGTGCAGGGCAGTGCACAAGCACAGGGGAGCCAGAGGGGCCGGTTCAGGGCCTGGGCAGAGTCGGCCAGAGCCCGTGATACAGGTGAGGGGAACAGGTAGTGAGCAGGGCCCTGGAGCTGAGCAAAGGGGATGGCCTAGCTGGGGGCAGGGCACTTAGCTTCCTCAGAGGTCAGGGGCACACCCGACCTGCAGTGGGACTCCAGGGTTACTGGGCCAGCGGCAGAGAGAAATGGGGCCTCCCTGTGGCCTCGGGGTCTTGGTGCCATGCAAGGTGCGGAGGGCCAAGGGCAGGTGCAAGGCTCCTACCTGTGCCGGGGGGCCTGGGCTGAGCCCAGCAGGGACCTTGCCAGGGGAAGCTCTGGAGGAGGTGAGCTGGTGGCCGAGAAGGCCAGGCCAGGGCTGGGAGGGTGAGGGTGTGGTGACTCAGCCTCCGGAAGTAATGCAGGACACTGGGGAGGCAGGGGGCATCGATGCACTCAGGGCCCTGACCTGGGCTGGTGCACACTGGGGCTAAGGGGAAAGGGGGGAGACACTGAGGAGGGGCTCCCGGGGGCTATTCCAAGGCAAGAGGTTCCGGGGTCCTGGGGCTGAGAGTGCCGACCCTATGCAGTGTCTGGCCCCTCTGCTGCACAGAAAAACAGGGCCCTGGAGGGCAGAGGGCAGGCTATGACCAGGGCCCTGGGCAAGTCAGGCCCACTCACTAGGGGAGGGCCACGCTGGGGCGGCAGGGTCAGGGGTTGCAGGGGTGTCACGGGACCCACGAGAAGCCCTCTGAGAACAGTGGCCACTGGTCAAGCCAGGCACCCATAAAAGGCTGGAGTGGGGCCTACGGGCATGAGCCGTTCCTGAGGTGGCACCGATGGCCAGAGCCGAGGCCAAGCTAGAGGCCCTGGGCTGTGCTGACTCCCTGCAGACACAGAGCACTAACCCGGCTGCAGGGGTGCCTGCAGAAGGGCACCGCAGGGCCGCCGCTCCTGCAAGCTTTCTGGGGCAGGCTGCGCCTGACCTTGCCTTTGGGGCAGGGAGGGGGCCAAGGTGAGGCAAGTGGCACCAGCCAGGTGCACACCCAATGCCCGTGAGCCCAGACACTGGACCCTCGCTGAGAGACAAGAACGGAGGGGCCTCTGCGCCCTGGGCCCAGCTCTGTCCCACACCGCAGTCACATGGTGCCACGTCTCTTGCAGCCTCCACCAAGGGCCCATCGGTCTTCCCCCTGGCGTCCTGCTCCAGGAGCACCTCCCAGAGCACAGCGGCCCTGGGCTGCCTGGTCAAGGACTACTTCCCCGAACCCGTGACCGTGTCGTGGAACTCAGGCGCCCTGACCAGCGGCGTGCACACCTTCCCGGCTGTCCTACAGTCCTCAGGGCTCTACTCCCTCAGCAGCGTGGTGACCGTGCCCTCCAGCAGCTTGGGCACCCAGACCTACACCTGCAACGTCGTTCATGAGCCCAGCAACACCAGGGTGGACAAGAGAGTTGGTGAGAGGCCAGCGAGGGAGGGAGGGTGTCTGCCGGAAGCCAGGCTCGGCCCTCCTGCCTGGACAAACCCTGGCTGTGCAGCCCCAGCCCAGGACAGCAGGGCAGGCCCTGTCGGTCTCCTCACCCAGAGGCCTCTGCCCACCCCACTCATGCTCAGGGAGACGGTCTTCTGGCTTTTTCCACCAGGCTCTGGGCAGCCACAGGCTCTGCACACACAGGGGCAGGTGCTGGGCTCAGACCTGTCAAGAGCCATATCTGGGAGGACCCTGCTCCTGACCTAAGCCCACCCCAAAGGCCAAACTCCACTCCCTCAGCTCAGACACCTTCTCGCCTCCCACATCCCAGTAACTCCCAATCTTCTCTCTGCGCAGTGTCCAAGTGGTCCCAACTGCCCACCGTGCCCAGGTAAGCCAGCCCAGGCCTTGCCCTCCAGCTGAAGGTGGGACAAGTGCCCTAGAGTGGCCTGTGTCCAGGGACAGGCCCCGCCCGGGTGCTGACGCGTCCACCTCCATCTCTTCCTCAGCACCTGAACTCCTGGGGGGACCGTCAGTCTTCCTCTTCCCCCCAAAACCCAAGGACACCCTCATGATTTCCCGGACCCCTGAGGTCACGTGCGTGGTGGTAGACGTGAGCCAGGAAGACCCTGATGTCCAGTTCAACTGGTACGTGGACGGCGTGGAGGTGCATCATGCCCAGACGAAGCCGCGGGAGGGGCAGTTCAACAGCACGTACCGCGTGGTCAGCGTCCTCACCGTCACGCACCAGGACTGGCTGAACGGCAAGGAGTACACGTGCAAGGTCTCCAACAAAGGCCTCCCGGGCCCTGTGGAGAAAACCGTCTCCAAAGCCAAAGGTGGGACCCGCGGGGCGCGAGGGCCATGTGGACAGAGGCCGGCTCGGCCCACCCTCTGCCCTGGGAGTGACCGCTGTGTCAACCTCTGTCCCTACAGGGCAGCCCCGAGAGCCGCAGGTGTACACCCTGCCCCCGTCCCGGGAGGAGCTGATCAAGAACCAGGTCAGCCTGACCTGCCTGGTCACAGGCTTCTACCCCAGCGACATTGTCGTGGAGTGGGAGAGCAGCGGGCAGCCGGAGAACACCTACAAGACCACCCCGCCCGTGCTGGACTCCGACGGCTCCTACTTCCTCTACAGCAAGCTCACCGTGGACAAGAGCAGGTGGCAGCCGGGGAATGTCTTCTCATGCTCCGTGATGCATGAGGCTCTGCACAACCACTACACCCAGAAGAGCCTCTCCGTGTCTCCGGGTAAATGAGTGCGACACCCGGCAAGCCCCCGCCCCCTGGGCTCTCGGGGTGGCGTGAGGATGCTTGGCCCACACCCCGTGTACATACTTCCCAGGCGCCCGGCATGGAAATAAAGCACCCAGCGCTGCCCTGGGCCCCTGCGAGACTCTGATGGTTCTTTCCGCGGGTCAGGCCGAGTCTGAGGCCTGAGGGGCATGAGGGAGGCACAGCGGGTCCCACTGACCCCACACTGGCCCAGGCTGTGCACGTGTGCCTGGGCCACCTAGGGTGGGGCTCAGCCAGGGGCCGCCCTCGGTGGGGTTGGGGGCTTTGCCAGCGAGGCCCTCCCTCCAGCAGCAGCTACCCTGGGCTGGGCCACCAGAAGCCTAGGAGCCCCCTGGGGACAGGCACACAGCCCCCGCCTCTGTAGGAGACTGTCCTGATCTGTGAGCTCCCTGTCCTCAGACCCCCTGCCCACTCGGGGGCATGCCTAGTCCATGTGCGTAGGGACAGGCCCTCCCTCACCCATCTGCCCCCACGGCACTAACCCCTGGCAGCCCTGCCCAGTCTTACACTCGCATGGGGACATAACCGACTCATGGGGACATGCATTCTCGGGCCCTGTGGAGGGACTGGTCCAGATGCCCACACACACACTCAGCCCAGACCCATTAAACCCCGCACTAAAGTTGGCCGGCCACACAGCCACCACACACACACACACACACCTCACACACAGAGCCTCACACGGGCGACCTGCACAGCACCCAGACCAGAGCAAGGTCCCCGCACACGTGAACACTCCGCAGACACAGGCCCCCACGAGCCCCACGCAGCACCTCAAGGCCCACGAGCCACTCAGCAGCTTGTCCACATGCTGACCAGCTCACACAAACCCAGCCCTCCTCACAGCAGAGCCCCTGCAGCCGCCGCACACACACAGGCCCCCACACACAGGGGAACACACGCCACATCGCGTCCCTGGCTGGGGCCCACTTCCCAGTACCGCCCTTCCCTGCAGCTGGGGTCACCTGAGGGGTGGGCTTCACCATCCTCCTGCCCTCTGGGGCTCAGGGAGGGACACGGGAGACGGGGAGTGGGTCCTGCTGAGGGCCGGGTCGCTATCTAGGGCCGGGTGTCTGGCGGAGCCCCGGGGCCAAAGCTGGTGCACAGGGCGGGCAGCTGTGGGGAGCTGACCTCAGGACACTGTTGGCCCATCCCGGCCGGGCCCTACATCCTGGGCCCCGCCACAGAGGGAATCGCCCCCAGAGGCCCGAGCCCAGCGGGACACGGCACTGACCACCCCCTTCCTGTCCAGAGCTGCAACTGGAGGAGAGCTGTGCGGAGGCGCAGGACGGGGAGCTGGACGGGCTGTGGACGACCATCACCATCTTCATCACACTCTTCCTGCTAAGCGTGTGCTACAGTGCCACCGTCACCTTCTTCAAGGTCGGCCGCACGTTGTCCCCAGCTGTCCCTGACACTGTCCTCCAGTCTCTCACAAACTCTCCCTGGCACTGTCCCCCAGGCTGTCTCCACATGTCCCTGACACTGTCCCCCACATTGTCATAAACTGTCCATGACACTGTCCCCCACTGTGTCCCCAGCTGTCTGACACTGTCCCCCAGGCTGACCCACCTGTCACTGATGCTGTCCCCCACTCTCAAACTGTCCCTGGCACTGTCCCCCACTGTCCCCCACTGTCCCCACCTGTCCAACAGTGTCCCCCAGGCTGTCACATGTCCCTGACACTGTCCCCCATGCTGTCCCCTACGGTGTCATCTGCCCCCAACACTGTACCCCAGTCTCCACCTATCCCTGACACTGTCCCCCACTCTGTCCCCTACAGTCCTTGGCACTGTTCCCCATGCTGTCCCCTCCTGTAGGCAAACCTGTCCACCATGCTCTCTCCTCCTGTTCCTGACACTGTCCCCACCTGTCCCTGACACTGTCCCCCACGCTGTCCCCCCTCTCCCTGACACTGTCCCCCACGCTGTCCCCCCTCTCCCTGACACTGTCCCCCACGCTGTCCCCCCTCTCCCTGACACTGTCCCCCACGCTGTCCCCACCTCTCCCTGACACTGTCCCCCACGCTGTCCCCCCTCTCCCTAACACTGTCCCCCACACTGTGCCCACCTCTCCCTGACACTGTCCCCCACGCTGTACCCACATGTCCCTGACACTGTCTTCTGTGTTGTCACTACCCTGGCCCTGCTCTCCATGTCCAGGCCTGGGGGCAGGCAGTGTAGACACCCTGGCACCTGGGTGGTCTGAAAGGCAGATGGGCCTCAGGGGCAGGGCTGTGGCTTTGGCAGTCTGAGGGTTGGGTGGGCCATGGGGGCAGGGCTATGGCCTCGGTGGCCTGAGGGGTGGGTGGGACTCGGGGGCAATGCTGTGACCTCGGTAGCCTGAGGGCTAGGTGGGCCTTGGGGGCAGGGCCGTGGCCTCACTCACCCCTGTGCTGTGCCTTGCCTACAGGTGAAGTGGATCTTCTCCTCAGTGGTGGACCTGAAGCAGACCATCGTCCCCGACTACAGGAACATGATCGGGCAGGGGCCCTAGGGCCACCCAGATCCCACACAGGACCCAAGGGCCATGATTAGCCACCACCCAGGCCACGCCTGAACCCTGACCTCACCGCGCTCAACCCCATGGCTCTCTGGCCTCGCAGTTGCCCTCTGACCCTGCTATACCAGACACGCCCCCCTTCCAGACCCTGTGCATAGCAGGTCTACCCCAGACCTCCGCTGCTTGGTGCATGCAGGGTGCTGGGGGCCAGGTGTCCCCTCAGCAGGACATCCCTGCCCTCTGGCAAACCAGGTGCTCACACAAAAGGAGGCAGCGGCCGGCATACCAGGCGCCCACCCAGGCAGGAGCTGGCCCTGGAGCCAACCCCGTCCACGCCAGCCTCCTGAACACAGGTGTGGTTTCCACATGGTGAGTGGGAGCATCAGCCACCAAGGCGGGGAAGCCACAGCACCATCAGGCCCTGCTGGGGAGGCTTCGGAGAGCTGCGAAGACTCAGTCAGACGGCCTTCCTCCCAGCCCGCAGCCAGCCACCTCCATTCTGGGCACTCCTGGGAACTGACATGAGGAATGAGGTTGTTCTTATTTCAAGCCAAGCACGCTGCTCTCCGGCTCCTGGGAAGAAGCCTCCCATGGAACAAGGTCTCAGTGCCAGCACCGCTCCTTGGCTGCCGGCCCACGCTGCTGGATTCTCAGGTGGAACTCGACCCACAGGGACAGCCAGCCCCAGAGTCTGCACTGGGGAGAGGAGGGACCAGGGCCAGGCCCAGGACACGGCCACCTCCCACCCACTCCACTCAGCCGAGATCACTCAGAGAAGAGCCTGGTCCACGTGGCTGCTGCAGGAGCCCTACAGGGCAAGGGTGAGAACAGCCCAAGAAAGGGGTGGGCATCCGCCCAGACAGGTCTGCCAGAGGAGGCCTGGTGATCAGGTCCCAGGCAGGCAAGACTCAGCCTTGGTGGGTCCTGAGGACAGAGGAGGCCCAGGAGCACCCGGGAGAGAGGTGGAGGGACACCAGGAGAGCCAGGAGCGTGAACACAGCGGAACTCATCACAGAGGCCGAAGTCCAGCCCCAAGTCACGTGCAGCAGGAATAAGCAGCCACTCTGGGGCATGAGGTGGAGGCGAGACGGCAAAGAGGGTGCCCGTGGCCTGGGGAGAGCGGGGCTGCTGGCCACGACTGCTGGACAGAGGCTCCCACGCTCTGCTGCCCACGTCACGCCGTTCGGTGAATGTCACGCAGAGTCTGCAGACAGGAAGGGAGGCACGAGCGGGAGCATGGCAAGCGCCTGCCTCGGCCGTCAGGGAGGACTCCCGGGCTCACTGGGAGGAGGTGCCACGATTTCAGCTTTGGTAGCTTTTCTCTTCTTTTAAATTTTCTAAAGCTCATTCATCATCTTTAATGTTTCTCCTTTTTGATGACAATAAAATATCCTTTTTAAGTCTTGTACTTTGTGATGGGAGCAGCCTTCCTGTGTTCACGCGCGTCCTGCACCCGGTGGGAAGCAGAGTCAGGAGGCGGCTGGTCGAGCTGCACCTCGGGGGCTCCCTGCACACGCCCCCCGCCTCCTGCAGCCACACGCACTGCCCACGCGGCCCTCCCTGGCCCCTGAGACTACATGGACCCCGGGGCTTCTCCTCTTGCCTACGCGGATGCAGTGTCTCCTCCTGCTGGGCACGGTGCTGCCTGCCCTGGTCACTCTGCATGGGGCAGGGCTTCCAGGACAAGCTGGGTTGAGGCCTGGGAGCTGGCTCAGGCTGCCCAGGCAGAGCCACACGGAGGGCCTTCCAGAATCAAGAGGTGGGTGTCAGATCAGTGTGAGTCGGCTCAGGACCACCGCAGACCTGGATCCTCCCAGGCCTAGGGACCAGGAATCTGAGATGGAGATGCAGGCAGGGCTGGTTTCTCTCAAGCCCTCTCTCCTTGGCTTATACACACCGTCTCCTCCCTGGGTCCTCACATGGCCATCCCTCTGTGTGCCGGTGTCCTAAGCTTCTCTTCTCAGAAGAACACACATCAGATTAGATTAGTGACCTCATAGGAACGTAATGACCTCTGTAAAGACCCCATCTCCAAATACGGTCATATTGCGAGGCTGGGGATTAAGACTTCAATATATGAATTTGTAGGGGTCACAATGTAACTCATAACAGTCCATACTCTGGCCCCCCAAAATTCATGTTCTCCTCACATGAAAAATACATTCATCCTATCTCAGCATCCCCCAAACTTAGCCCTTTCAGCATCAATTCTCAGCCTGAAATCTCATCAAAATATCACCTTAATCAGGTATGGGTGAAACCTGGTGTGATTCATTCTGGGGTAAAATTCAGCCCATAAGAGACATGTTGGGTGCCAGAAACAAGGACCAGGCAGGAGAGGCAGAGGTGGAGACAGACATTTTCAAAGATAAAGCTGGGCACTAGGTCATGTAGCAAGGACAGATTTTCAACAGAAATAACTATTGCAACAGAAGAAAGAGTCTGGCAAGACTTGAACTCACCTCCATCTGTGCAGAGGCGTCAGCCTTGTAAAGGGAGACGGTACAGGGAGCAGGGAGGGTGCTCGGGGCTCAGGCGTCGGGGAAGGGAAAAGTTGCCCAGCGCTGGTCAGCGTCCCTGGGATGGGGCCCGCTGTGTCCGCGCCGGCCACTGTTGAGGTCAGGATTCTGTCCTCCCAGAGCCTGGAGACACCGGCCCATCTTCCCAATGGGGACACTTCAGGGAGTGGCTCTCAGGTCCCGAGAAAGACCCTCCTGGGTCACAGGAAATGCACAGACATCGGGAACGGACAGAAGGACGTGTGGTTGCAGCCCTTTCAGCAGACGCCCTGAGAAAGGGAGGTCGGGGTTGGAGCAAACAGTCAGTTCTGGTGCACGAAGCTTTCTCACGCAGGTGTTGACGGGGCAGGGGTCGGCCTAGGGGTGCGGCCAGAAGCTGTTAGACACTGTTAGTGTCTGCTCAAGTCTTTACGAGCCAAAGCTGAGGCCGAGTGGAGAAGCTCCAAGTAGCCTGGCTGGAACTCAGTCAACGAGATGGTCTTGTTACTGAGGTGGCTGCAGTGGCTGGGCTGGGAAATGCCATCAGAGTTTCCTGTGGCAGGAGAGAGACCATCTCACCCAGGAAAAGGGGAGTGGTTGGATTCGTTGGTGTGGCATCGAGCAGCAGGAGCTGCACCAAACACAGAGTTGGGGTGAAATCCCCAGACTCCAGGCCCTGCGGTGCCGTGGGAGGCCTCACCGCTGGAGGGTGGGCTCCAGGCGTCCTGGCCTCAACTGGGTGCTGAAGCCCAGCCCTTTAACTCTCAGGACACACTGCTGCAGCCGCGTGGGGGATGAGAGAGACAGTACCTGGGGTCAGGGCGGGCAGCTGCTGCATCACCGGCTCTATCCGAAGCCCAAAGATGGCGTCCCGGAGATGCAGGAGAGCTTTGCCCAGAGAACGAGCCAGCCTGCAGGGACCCTGCTGGACAGGTCTCCACCCTCTGCCCTTCAGGCGGCCCTCGGGGCCTCCGGGTGCTTTGGTGGGATGGGCTCCAGTCCACTCTCTGATGACAGACGGCCCGGCCAAGCTAAGGAAGGGAAACCCAGGGCAGTGCTGGGTGCTGCGTCATTCCGTGCCCTGAGCAGGCCGAGTTGGGAAGAAGCAGATGCTCCCTGCAGCTCCTGCCCCTTCAGGGCCTGGCACCCGGACCAGGTTCCCTGGGGAAATTGGGCCCCTCCCTGAGGCACCCAGGCCCCACCTCCCCCTTTCCACCTGGGACCGAGCATCCTCCAGAGGGCCGGCCCTCCTGGAACAGCCCTCCTGCAGGAACACCACGCCCAGCCCCAGGACCCTCCCTCAACTCTCCAGCAAGGCTGCACTGTGGGTGACCCCTGCACACCCTCCAGCCATCCGTGCTGTGATGTAACACAACATGGTGTGACATGGTGTGATGTCCCTGGTGTGACAGGGTGTAATGTGGTGTGATGTGACAGGACATGGTGTGATGTGCTACGATGTGGTATGACAGAGTGTGACATCCCTGGTGTGATGTGATGTGGTGTGATGTGGTGCAATGTCCCTGGTGTGATGTGATGTGACATGACTGGACATGGTGTGATGTGATGTGATGCAGTCGGATGGGGTATGACATCCCTGGTATGATGGGGTATGACATGGTGTGATGTGTTGTGACAGAGTGTGACATCCCTGGTGTGATGTGGTGTGATGTAGTGTGATGGGGTATGGTATGGTGTGATGTGTTGTGACAGAGTATGACATCCCTGGTGTGATGTGGTGTCATGTAGTGTGATGGGGTATGATATGGTGTGATGTGGTGTCACATTGTGTGACATCCCTGGTGTGATGTGGTGTGATGTGGTGTGATGGGGTATGACATGGTGTGATGTGGTAAGGTGTGACATGATGTGATGTGCTGTGACTGGGTGTGACATCCCTGGTGTAATGTGGTGTGAAGTGTAACTAGGGGTGATATAGTGTGATGTGGTGTGACATGTGACGTGGTGAGACATGATGTGATATGATGGGGTGTGATGTGGTGTAACATGTGATGTGATGTGGTGTGACATTCCTGATGTGACAAGGTATGATGTGATATGATGTGGTGTGACATAATGTGATGCAGTGTGATGTGATGGAGAGTGATGGGGTGCAACACTCCTGGTGTGATGTAGTGTGATGTGGTGTGACATAATGTGATGGAATGTGATGGGGTGTGATGGGGTGTGACATGTGACATGGTGTGACATGATGTGATGTGATGTGGTGTGATGGGGTGTGACATCTCTGGTGTGATGGGGTATGATGTGGTGTGACGTAATGTGATGCAATGTGATGTGGTGTGACAGGGTGTGACATCCCTGGTGTGATAGAGTATGATGTGGTGTGACAGGGTGTGACATCCCTGGTGTGATGGGGTATGTGTTGTGACATGGTGTGACAATGTGATGAGTGTGCCTCCCTGGTGTGATGTGGCATGACATATGTGATGTGGCATAACATCCCTGGTGTGATGGGGTATGATGTAGCTGATGTGGTATAA